CCCCCAAAAAAAAAAAAAAAACAGAGGATGGATCTCTTGAAGAGGCTCGGTTCAGGGGGTATCTTGGCCTCGGAGTCTGTGGGGATGGGCGCTTCAGGGAGCAATAAACTTTCTCCCTTCAGTGTGATCTATTCTCCTTTGCAGCACGATAGACAGCAGGGTGCGGCGGTGGTGGGCCTGGTGGTGGTCTAACGTGGTAACAACAACTACTGAGGGGCTGCATTCCACGCTCCGTCCAGAGAAAACTAAGTGTTGAATGCAGCCCACATCCTCCGCCTTAGGGCCTGATAGGGGTCCAATCTTAAGGGCTCTATGTTGGACAGTCTCATCTCCAGTAGTGTATCCTGATTCAATTCGGCTTGGCGTTTCAGCCTGGTCGTCCAATCCTCCAGTTATAGCCCTCTTCTGTAGTGCTTAGTTATCGGGGGATTGGGGTGTTGGGGCACACAAATCCTGAACCCTAAGCCCTAAGTACAGGAACAAGAACTGCCTGCACCAACTAGAATTCCACTTCCGTCGTCAATTCGTCAATTTCAAGTTTCTGTAGTATACTTTGGGTCGGGGGAAACGAGCTGCTCGATGCGGGCGGCCTCCGGTTTTGAGCTGAGTCTTCTTCACCCACTCGTACCGGAAAATGCCACTGCAATCCATCCGATCACTCTGACCTGCCTGTGGCTGCAAGGTCTCGTTAAAGGTGAGGGCAGCCTCGACAGTAGGAAGCGGGTGGTGTGAACTGCGGGCTTCTGATTGAGAACCCCTTCGTTCGTATAGTGAGGCCTTGTAACCACACGGGATTCTGAATCAGCTGCAGTATTCGAGGTTATGGTTCCATTGCTGAAGCTTTGGAAGATGCTCTTTTGCGAGTGCTGAAAAGATGTAGCTGCTCACCTGACTTAGAATCGAAATGCGTCTAAAGCCTGAGCGCCTTCAGCTCCGATCCCCGAGCTGATAGAACACACGTACAAAGCAAGCAAGCTGGCCGAGATTGAGAAAGGCGGCGCCGTCGGGTTTTGGAGAGATACTACTTTGCTAGTTCAAGTTGAGATTTAGGCCTAGATGTTGGGGTTAAGGGGGCGGCCGGTTCCGGACTTCACACGAGCTGAGGCTTTTGGCGGGCTTTCACGCCACAAGACCATCATCTCTGAAGCGGAGGCACTTCTTCCTGCAACAAGCGCAACCTTGCAACCACGTCGAAAGCTGACAAGCTGAAGCATTACTCGCCAGGGCTGGAGGGTACTAAATCCGCTTTAAAATGTGTCACTTCGGCTCTTACTTCTAGGCTTCATCTTTAGGAGTGTGACTCATGACAAGTCTAGTCTGCTGACGATTCATGAGCTCGCATCGTATAACCAACCCCATAAGCCCGACTGTGCGTGTGCCTCTACATGATCAGCAGCTGCATCAGCGCACCAGGCGTGCAAATGACGGACGACGGCCTGCTTTAGACGGTCCCATGGATTCCAGACGGATGCCCCCTAAACCCTAAACCCTAAACACCTGCATTCTGGGGATGTTGTTCGTCAACACAGGAGCAGCTTTTAGAGGCTTCCAAATAGGACTGGTCGACTTCGCGATGGAAAACACGAAGGTCTGAGGTGTAAAATACTGTAAAAGCATAGCAAGGTGTTGAGACCCACGAACATTCATCCAAACTCCACCCAGCCAGCCAGCCAGTCAGCCATCCATCCATTCAGCATAATATAGGAAGATGTACATCTTGAATAAAGACAGAGTGCCAAGAAGTCACACATTATGTACACGCACACCGAAACTACTGAGCTCGGAACTCCATCAGAGACTCCCCCGTAGTTAGAATAGACCTTAAGTGGTACCACCCGGAAGTATAAGGATGCCTAGAGTCCGAGAGACTTCAGGGACCCCTCATGTTGCGACAACTCCCATGTTGAAGGCTGCAGGAGACACGCACGTTGGCATGCTCGACAAAAGAAGTGCTGTCTCCATTGCAAGTCCTTTCTGGGGCTACCTGAAAGGACCATGAGAGGATCAACCAAAATTACTTGTAAGTTGCTTTTGGGGTTACCTTATAGGATCCAAAATATTTAGTGGTGAAACGGTTAACCCACAAAAAGGAACCACCATGGAGACTGCAGATGTGCGGCTCTGTACATGCCGAGACCCTTCTGCGGCCACCTGGGCAGCTGCACAAAGCTTGGCTTCTTTGTACAGTCCCAACAGAGATCCTAAACCCCGAAAACCCTAAGCACCCCTAGAACCTAAACCCTAAACCCAATCAGTACTTCTTCAAGAGATCCGGTCTTCGGAGCCACCCAAGCCCTGCAAGGACTGTCTGGTTCTTAGTAGGGAATGGGGGAATGGGTTATTGGGACTACTATAGGGGACCTTAAGGGACTATCATAGGGATCCATTCCCCAATTCCCTACTAAGAACCAGGGAGAGGATTGGAGGACTGAGAGTCCTGGGTTTCCTTTTGGGAGTTCGTAGCTTTCGATCGGTGTGTATACACGTCGCAGAGGGGTGTCTGGCCTTTACTGCTTAAACTTCATGCCGTATGTATATATATATATACATATATATGTATGTCTAAAAATAAATGAATAATGAATAATGTACATATATATAAATAAATATATAAATATATAAATATATAAATATATAAATATAAATATATAAATATAACTATATAAAATAGTTAAACAAATAAATAAACAAATATATATATATATACACACACACATAAGTAAGGGGCTTAGGTTCTAGGAGGCTCAAGGAACGTATCTTCGGCTACCACATTGGGCTCAGTGTAAGGGCCAACAATGCCCTAGACCATAAGAGGCGTGCGAGGAGGATCGTGGCGCTTCCGGTTTTGAGAAAGACCAGCTTTGGGAACTCCATTTTCCTTAGGGTTTCAAGGTTCCGGGCTCAGAGGTGTAGGGTTTCGGGGCTTCGTGGAGGACCCATGAACCCTAAACGCTAAACCCCATTACTAACTAATATTTCCCTCTGCTTCCTCAGTGAGGCTTGTAATCGAGGAGCCTGTTTCTCGGTGGAGCAGTGGGCTTGTGAACTTCGTGGACACTTCGGGGTCCAGGGCACTCCGAAAACAAGTTTCCGATTGCAAGCAGGAAGCTTACAGAAGGCCTGATAAACCCTGAAGAATCCTAGCATTCAGGTTTGAGTCGTGCTCCACCTTAACCTTTGTAGGCCACAAATAGCCGCAAACGTCTGCCTGCGGCCGTCTGTGCTCAAAGCCGTTCCACCACAATCGCCTCCTTCTCAGGATCCCGTTCCAGAAGGGAGAAGCGCTCGACCAGAGTTAGCACCACCGGATCCGTGGACGTGCGAAGCACGCCTGGGATGTGGAAGTAGGATCTACGGCACTTAAGGGTTTTTTAAAGGTTGGGCGCATTGGGAGATAGGGCCGTTCAGGGTGCTTTAAGCTGCTCTGGGGGGACGGAGGACTCACCCGAGAATACATGCATTTGCACGGACGTGCTAGGCTAGCTGGACCAACAACGCTCAGATCATGTGTTGTGCCCCCCTTCAGGACACCCTAGCTAAACTTGTCCCCTCTAAGCCCGACACCTTATACGGCCTTATACCCTAAACTGACCCTGACTCTGGTGAGCTGTATTAAGCGGTAGATCTGAAGCTCAATGTCGCCATGGCGCCTGCCGAGAGGTCGGGCACAGAGTAGCCGTGCAACGCATCCGCCCAGACCCATCCCGCTGGAGTTTCGGGGAGGATGCCAGCAACCTGGCCGCAGAAGCGGATTTAGGGCCTTTAGGGTTTAGGCGGGGCGGCAACGAAATGCCAGCTACCCGCGTACAAAAGAGGCGCAATTTACCGAGCATCATTGCGGATGTGGTGGAGGAAAGGCTCGGGGCTGAGTGCTTCGATGGAGAATACTATGGCTTCAACTTTGGTCCGATTGGCAGACTGCCGGGCTTGACGCCGACATGTAGTCTGATTCGGACTCGTGAAATCCGAGTTACTTGGCTGGTTCTACACTACTTCATTGTCCTTGAACGAAGGTGTCAATAAACCCGAAGCCTCCAAGCCACGAAAAGCTTGCACTCTCCTTATGGACAGCCTTCGCATCTCACCCATGTCAGGACGATCACGGCATAGGGGCCACCACAAAATTGAGACCCGCCCAAAACCCGAAAACCCAAACCACAACCCCCCCCCCCCC